AAAAAAAAAAAAAAAAAAAAAAAAACTAATAATAATAATGGAAAGCTTAGGTTGATTAAAGAAATCCAGAGTGTGAATGATTGTTGGGTAATTGGGTCAAATCAAGGATTAATTTGAAAGTGCATGTGAGGAGCTGGAATTGGACACTGTATTTGGGTTTGGGATCAGATTTGTGGATGAAGAATTGAATTATTAATTATGGGTAAGAGTGGGGTATGAGTTCCATTAATGATTAAGTTAAGCACACCACAATAATTATAGTTACAACAAGATTCGTAATTGTTCTGTTTTGTTTTGCAAATTTAAATGATAAATGGTGAAAAGTGGAGATTCTTATGTCTCCCAGATTTACCTTTCTCCTCATTATTCTTTCAACTCATTAAAGTTGCATCTACTTCACACCCACAAACCACATTTTTCAACTAACGCTAACAATAACTGTGACCGCCAATCTTCTCACTTCTCTCCTCTTTTTCGACCATCATTTGAGAGAATCTATTTATATCTTTATTAGGATTAAGATGTCATAGGAATTGATCTATTATATGAAACGTCTACATCATTTCTAAGTTCATTGTTCAATGGAAGGCTCTCGAAGGAGTCGTCCTCTATTCCTCCTCTAATCGCGCACGCAACATCCTGTTCTTGCTGTAATACGTAACCCATCCGTCATTATTCTTAATTCATCCACGTGTAATGCACAACGATCTGCTATTGTCGCAGGTGTTACTCTTAAACCATCGATTCTTATCCAACACGTAGTGACATGCTCTTATCACATCAACTGCTTTTAACCCCTTCAATAGTACTCTTACCACGTCAACTGCTTTTAACCCCTTCAATAGTAGAAGTAGTAGGTGAAATGTGATGATCTGGCATTATTAAGTGGATTTTGCCTCTACAGCTAATAATGAATACCAAATTCTTATAGAATGATGATCCCAAGATGCGATTGCAAAATTAAATTATGTTTTAATTAATAAGGTAATATTATCACTAATTACCTTTTGTCTTCGTATCTTATCGAAATGATCATTTGCTGAATCGAAATTGATTAAAATGAAAAATTTACAGGGATAATATTCTTCTAGATTCGGATGACATAATTCATATAATGACGTAATTTAAGTTGGGCAGAATTTCAAATTCCATTTCTGAAGGATACCGCCCCGTCGATATCTCCGATCTTCGTTCTTGTCGGATCTCTACAGACACCGCCGGCTAAATAATCAGGTAGCTTCTCACTTCTATTTCCAATGATAGTGCCATTGATTCATCTAGAAGAATCCCCCGTTCTCCGGCGGATTTCCGGAGACTGGATTCCTTCCTCTCGTAATTTTAGCGAATATTACTTTGTCGCTACTTTCTTTCCCTTGGTTTGATTGTTTTTGCCATAGATTGTGGAATAAGATCCTTGAATGTTCTTGATTTTGGCGAATCGAAAACTTTTAGGACTCAAGAAGGCAATGAAAACAGAAAATCTATGAGAATTACAATTTACGCTTCCTCTTCGCTGAGTTCTGAAATGATTACCACCAAAACAGATCACCCACCCGAAATCTTGGAGTTTGGGCTTAGAATTAAAACGTTAAGATCCCTCATCCAAGATCCTTCATCCAACTCATCGTCGTTACGATTCGGAACGGGAATGTAAGAAATAGAACAAGAAGAATTCAGTGATTGATCATCGAATTTCACGAAGAAGAAGCCGTGCTCCGAAACAGAGAAAAATGTAGTAATATCCTTGTCGATTTACATCGGAAGGAGAAAAAAGAAGCTAAAAGAGTATCATCTATGAGAAACCAAAATCAGAAAACCTATATACAGAAAAATAAAAAACAATCTCTCTACAAAAATACAAGAGAGGAAAAAGAAAAGTATGTTTATGACTCGAGAGAGAGATTGGAAAGAAGATCTTGAAGATGGCGAGAATCGTAATCACCAAGTCTGAGAGCCTCAAGAACACGCTCAAAGAGAAGAACATGGCAAGGAATATGTAGAACGCCTTTCTGTTCGTAGCCGTACTCTTGGGCGGATTTATCAAGGAGCTCGATGAAAACAGGGTGATTTAGGAGTTGAGCGCTGACGACGAACCGTTCCATCTCTTCGCCGACGTAAACAGGGACGTGGCCTTGCGGCACAGTGCCGGAGCGGAGGATTCGAGAACGACGAAGTTTGGTGGCGGCGGCGGCGGCGTGAGAGTCGGAGCGGAGAAGACAGTACTGCGAGGAATCGGCGACACGGGAAAGACGGCGAATCAATTGCTTCATGATGATTGGTAAAAGAAATGGAGAGTGAGAAGGGATTCGAGATTTGATTTAGAAGGAATCCGATGGAAGTGGTAGGTTTAGTTCGAAGACGATGGAAGAGAGCATGAAGATTGGTAGAAGAATGGGAAGAATATATATAGAAAGGGAAGGGGGAGGTGTGAATACGGAGATTAAAAATATATATAAAAAAGAAATTAAATACAAAAAGAAAAAGAGGGTGGGGAGGTACAGGTAAGAGTACTTGCCTGGTACATCACTCACACCACCTTCCCCTTCCCTCTCGAATTATTAATTATTTTTTATTATAAATTTGATTTCTAAGCTTCCAAATTTCATGATAATAAATATTCAAATTAAAAAAGAAAACAGCATAATTAGTAATTTGAATTAAATATTTGCAGTCCTAATCTTCACCAACTGGGCTTTGTGTTATGGTGAACAGTAATGTGTAGGATGATGATGTGGGTGTGTGTAGGACGCTTTTAAAAAGAAAGGTATTTATTTTAAGCATATTCATAGTTTGGGGAAGAAAAGTGTAGTTATGTTGTTGATTTAAAAAGATTTGATATTAGTTTAGTTTTAATTAGTAATGGTGGAAAAAATAGATGAGATAATATTAAAATATTATTATGAAGTATGAAGTATGAAGGAGGGATGGGGTGGGGCCGTGGGGGCGTGTTGTCCAACTGGGTGAGCGGCGCGGGGTTGGGTTTAGGATTAAATTAAATATTCCTATTCCCTACACATTCTGTTCACAAGTCGTAGCGCGTGGTGATGGCGGTGCCCTTGCATTGCCTCGCCTCGCCTTGCCTTGCCTTGCCTTGCCTTGCATATCAATTCCATTCCATGGGGGGAACAAGGTGGGAAGGGGGAGGACTGTCCCAACCCCATTCTTGTCTATCTATCTACCTTTACGCGTCTTCCCCTTTCCTTACTCTTTTTCATCTACGCCTCTCTTCTTCATCTTCTTCATCTGTGTTTGTGCGTGTGTGTGTGTTGGCAATTGAATGTTCCAGAAAATGGTTCTTTCTTGGAATGCAATGGACCGTATCATTACTTCCTTCTTTAACAAGATTAGTTCCATTTAGATATGAGTTGCAATTCCAATGCCACTTGGGGGGGCGTCAGTCAATGAGATAGACGACGATATGAATGTACGGAAGGTTATACCAAGTTGGTGCAAGTGTAACCCCACCACACTGGCCCCGTTTGCTTTTTTCTTGCCTCCTTTACTTCTTCAGTCTATCCACAGGTTATTAACATTAATTAGGCTTCAACTCACGACTTTTTAATGAGAAATGGATCGTTTGAGTGGGGAACAAATAATATTATCTAAAACTAAAAGGGGCAAATGGGAAAGGGAAGTTGTCTGGAAACCATAATTAGAGGGGGAGGAAGAAATGGAAAGCTGAGGAAAAGTGGGGTTTTTTTTCTCGCTTTTACTAAAGGAAAAGAAAGAAATCAAAATGGCCATTCAGTTATCCCAAAAGCCCTCCCAGAAAGTAGTAAAAAAAATAAAGTTTGGGTTCGGTACGGAGATGACCTCACCTCAGCTGCGATTGATTTTGATTTTTGAGGGCTAAGAAAGAGAAAAAGGGTTCAAAAATGGATATCCAAAAAAGAAAAGCAAAGAAAAGCAAGAATATATAGAGATATGGAGCTTTATGGTAGTGGCATTACAGAGCGGAATGAGCAGAGAATGACCAGGAAATCCACATTGCCAGAGCGGCCTAGCCTAAGAGAAACCAAAGCCTCTTCGGCTGCCCTTCTTCTTCTTCCCCTTTCTTTCATGGTCCTTCCTGAAAGTGACCATTTATATATATACCATTCCAAAAACTTGTCCACTTGACCTAACAAAAGCGACTGGATTTGAAAACTCAGAACCCCAAAAACAGCAACTTGTTGGGAAGGAGAAGGAGACTCCAAAATGGATAAGGTCATCACATTACACGCAAGTGGCCGTGGAAAGGGAGCAGATGCTGAATGGTTGGGGGAGAAATGCAAATTTTCATCCTGTTTGGGCCCAACCCAGAAGACTACTCAAGAAGACTACTCAATATCTGAAAGGGCGGACCCCAGCTTGCTTGCTTGCTGTGTATTGGGACCCCTCAAATTTAAGGCTGAATCCGAATTCTTCTCGCCCAATTTCCCCTGAAATTGAACATATCAGAAAACCCCTCCAGATTTTTTGTTCTAATAAAACAATGACCTCATCAATCTATTTGATGATGGTAACAGCAACCCAATTTCCCAAAATTCTCCAATGTTTTAGGAAGAAGCTTATTAGTCTAAACCAGATGTGGATAGGCATATTAGAGAACAGGATACAGCCCACTTCTAACTGAGTTTAATGCTCCAATATAACCTGGTTTGTAATTTTCCCTGGAGCACTTCAGCTGCTTGTCTTTTTCGAAACAATTTTGAATTACTTCCAAAACATGACTAAATTGAGGATGAGTAGAATTGGTGAGATATGAACTACTGTGAACTACAAGGAAAAATGTTTGAGAAGATATACGCGTTTGACATGTTTTAAGTCATGGTCGTGGATGGTCATAGAAGATGGAGCCCCTTATTTATTTATTTATTTACGGAAGGGATAGCAGAAGTTTCCAAGTCACCCCAAATTTCTAGAGACTGGAATAGCCATGAGTCAAATGTGACTATTACATACTAATCCTCCCTTCTTAATCCTGTCTGTGATCGATAAAGCTTGAAATTCCATGTCCATGGCGTCTTCATCTTTAGGTTTTATCTTTGCTCTTTCTGCTTTTGCTTCCATCGTCACCCACCTGGTTGTTTTGTCTGAAGCTCAAAATCCAAATCAACCCACCACCGATCCCGATCAAGGTTCTCTCTCTCTCTCTCTCCCTTTTCCTCTCCCACCTTTAGTGTGTTCGGAGGAATGAGCTATATGATGCAAGCTACACTTTACTTTCATTCAATTCAACTGAACTCTTTTGTTTGTTCGTAAATTCAGCTTATTTATACTCGTTTTTTGTGAGGATCACCAATGAGTCAAGTCTGAAAAACTTTACTCAAACAACTACATTGGAATGGATTGATTGACTTGTGAGTAATATTTTTGTGTGCAGCAAGAGCTCTGAATTCCATATTTAGTCAATGGAAGATATCGGCGCCATCAGGGGTGTGGAATATAAGCGGGAATCTGTGCAGTGGGAGGGCAGTCAACACTACCACGGCCATTGACAGCTATGGAAACCCCATTCCTCTCATAAAATGCGATTGCTCAGCCAACAATGGTGCAACTTGCCTCATTACTCAAATGTAAATCTCTCTCTCTCTAGATAGATATATGTGTGTGTCTATCACATTGCATTTGAAGTGCTGGAGCAATTAGAGTTTGTAACACGTGTAATTTTAAGAAAATAAATAAAAAATATTTGCAAAAATGAAAAAAAGAAGGAAGGTAAGCAGAATGGCACGCACGCACGCAAGTTGGAGAAGATGACCGTACAGTCAACGGTTAGTCTCTCAACCTTCTCTTTAACGAATTTGAAACTAGCAATTTTCATTAGTTTTATTGTTTTGACTTAATTTAGGGCATATTGAGGAATTTCGACGAAATTTAGAATATCTTCAAAGACTCGAAACAAGTTTGGGAAGCCTACAATCAAGTAACCATATAGAGCAAGTTTCTAAGAAATACTCGTAGGAGTCGATTAGGATTGAGAACAATAATTGAGTATTATGTTTAGGAACCTAGTTTGACCTAGTCTCATGAGAATTATGCTTAGATGATGTGAATAGTTTACCACTTAATTATGTTTACCGTCATATAGCTTCCGCATGCATGTCATAGAGTGCTAATTATGGTTTCCATAGACTATGAGTTACTTTTCACGTACTTTGGTCCTATCACCTAGTCATGAGTTCCATAGCCTCCTTTGGTTGACCAGGTACCTTGTAGGGACAAATGGGGTGCAACCCCTATTCGTGAACTAACCAACAAAGGTTAGGGTCTACTTGTTACACATGACTTAGTTGTCACCCATAAAGGATATCAGTAGTCATAGAGAGTATACTACTGTAGTTCATACCAATGGTGCCTAGTGGGAGTGCCATGACCATTTTACTGATCTAGCTCAAGTGGCGTATTGACAGGTAATTTTACTGTTCTAACCTGGAAGGGTGTAGTGACAAGTAGTTTAATGTTCTAGCCAGAAAGAGGCAAAGTAACATGTAGTCACTGTTTCTAAGACAGGTAGTTTACTGTCACAGCTTGGAAAGGGTATAGTGACAGGTAGTTTTACTGTTCTAACCCGTTGCGGGTACATGGGCAGATAGTTACTATTCTAGTCTGGAATGGGCGTAGTGACAGGTAGTTTACTGATCTTAGGAACAGGTAGATGTCGCCCGACACTGTTAGGGAGAATCCACTGATTAGAGCTAAGTAGGTAGATAGGTATGGAGTACAGTCATCGTTTAGAGTAGAAAGGGCTCCTCCATACTGACGGGTATTAGCTTAGGGTCTTTTCATGGGCCATAGTGGCTCGAGGCACTCCTCGCACAAGACTGATGAAGGACCTAGACATACGTGACACCTAGAGCCAAGAAAACAGAAAACCCTAGGTTGTGAACACGAGAGGGATTGAGTACTCCTTAAAGGAGGAATGCTGAGGGTAGTTGTACAGTGACTACCAAGTTTGGTATAGCCGTTTAGCCACAGTTTGGGCGATCGTTAAAAACAGTTATGAGCACATAGCCAAAGTTTATGTGTATAGGATTAAGTCCGATAAGAGTTTACAAGTAGGTTGCTTATTGAGTATTTTTATACTAATTCCATATTATTCTATTTTTTTCAGATAGAGTGTAGACCACTATTGATGGCGGGAGCTTGCGAAGCCGTGCAACTGTAGGGGGTGCCTTTTAGATCGAGTCTTCTTCCTTTTTGTCATTTTCCTATTATTTTAAAGCTACTTCTCAAAACTTGTGTATTTTTGTAAATCGTTTTGATTTGACTCCATGGATATTACCTTTAAACTACTTTTATGTCGGTTTTGAATGCATATTTAAATTTTAAATTCCTTGAGTCTCCCGTTTTACAAAAGAAAATTTTACCTTCCTTTTTATCCTTGAGTATACATGGTACCTCGAAAATCAGGTCGTTACATAA